AACCAAACCAGGCTGAGGCCGGAAAGACTGGAAACTCTGTGAGGCCTGTATGGTCTCAAATTAATAATTCCAGTTTGTGTTATCAAAACAAGCTCCTGTTAACACACAGGTCTTGGTAATTTCTGTACGCAAAAGGAAGACTGGAACTGTTCATTTACGCAAGATTTCAGGAATACTCGAAGCGGATTTATGTTTAGCCACCCTTCAAACTGAAGGAAGACTGCAAAGTCATGAAGGTGCTGTCCGCTGAGAGATATTCCTTAGTATTAAGGTATAATCCACAAGTCAGGCAGCCTGTGCAGTAATTGAAGCAGACCTTCCTTTAATTGACACTGAGCTTCCTGACTCTCTGAGCAATGTAATTGTACCTTTTAAAAGTATGATGAAACTTTCCCTTAAAAGCAGCTTTTGCAATTTAACATCCATAATTGCAGCAGCAAAACATTTGCTCCTAGATAAGGGCACTTGTGCAGTATCGGTAATTAGTTTGACCTGGCCAGATGCCTCCTGATAAGGCACAGAAGAGAGCTGTCATCTGGTATGCTGAAGAATTTAATTCTCTTAAATTGTGACACGGCATGTATGTGGTAATAAGTCAAAAATTACCAGTTGTATTGGATGAAGTCTAGTGGTGCACCATAGTCTTGTTTAGTCCTGACCATTGTCAAGTACTAAAAGAAGAAAAGAAATCCTTGTTCCAGTTATGCTGACACATGTTTTAGCAGGAATTTTATTTGCCTTTCAATTCCTCTGCTTGCTTCCTAATTCCTCCTCACGGGACATTGCACAACCTCAGTCTTCTCTGTATCTGTTTCACATCACTGCAACCCTCCGTCTTTCCCTCAGTTGACCTCCTTCCCTCTTCTCTATCAGCCTCTACCATCAAAATAATCTCTCCTTTTTCTGATGGTTGAAGCACCACGATCCCAAGCCTGGCCTCTCTTCTACAAAACTATTTGAATCATAGAATTGTTTAGGTTGGACAAGACCTTTAAGATCATCCAGTCCAACCATTAACCCAACACTGCCAAGTCCACCACTAAACCAATTAAGGGCAGAGTAGCAATTTCATGTTTCCTGGCTTGGTAGCTGGATTATTTTTTTAATGAAAGTAAAACTAGGAATCACTAAGGTTGGAAAAGACCTCTAAGATCATCAGTGCAACCATCAACCCAACATCCCCATGCCCACTAAACCATGTCCCCAAGTGCCACCTCTGCCCGTTTTTTGAACCCCTCCAGGGATGGGGACTCCCCCACCTCTCTGGGCAGCCTGTTCCAATGCCTGGAACCTTCCCAGAAAGCAGCATGACCCAACCCTTTTATCTCCTTGAAACCAGGCATCGGTTTGGGGACCTTTCTTGCAGACCTGTCCTTGCAGCTTGCTGTCTGCCTGAAGTCCTTCCCAGAAACAAGGGCTGGTAAATGCGAGCCACCGGGCACGAGGCTCCGTGTCCCTTCTTCCTTTCCCACAAGGCCAGAGGAGAAGCGGAGCTGCCCAGGGCAGCTTATTTGCTGTCAGTCGGACCTCGCTGCATCTAAAGTATTTTTATTATCTGGTGGTACCTTTCATTTGAGAAGCTCTTCGCTGCAATCCCAAACTCCTGGCGTGAGCTGTTTTTACGGCTGCCCCGGTGCTGCATCTGGCTCCAGCTGTCCTGGGGGCCTCGGCTGGGGGTGAGCGCTGTCAGCCTGGGAGCTCTGGTTTCAAAAGCATTAAACAACTCATGGTACGTACAGATGTAGCCTTGATTTTTAATCGTGAGGGTCACTGGATTGGCCTGGGCATGTATTCTTGAGGAGGAATGAGGACTTTGAAAGCAGAAGGACCTGGGCAGATGGGTGGCTAGTTCTTGCCAGGTCGGTGGCCAGCAGAGCCGGGAGGAGAGGGTAGGTGAGCCGTGGAGGGCCACACAGAGGAGTATGGACAGGGGATGGGGATGGGGAAGGATGGTTGCTTTGTGGTTTCAGGGTAAGTCATGTTAAGGTGAGTTTTGGAGGCAGTTTCTTGCTAAAAGACGTTTAAAAGTCTGCAACAAAGGGAGTTGGAGGAGATATGCGAGATAGGAGACAAAACAGGAATAGGAGACAATTAGAAAAGCAGGGGTAGGAGAGCTCAGGACTGAGTAACCAGTCAGGTTTTATGCTGGATGTAAATTAACTGGGATCGTATCTCTTGGATCTAAAGAGAGGGACTGAGTGGAAAACGAAGCCCGATTCCTCCCACATGCTGTGTGCGTCTGAGAAGCCTCCACCAAGAGAATCATTTTAGGGGCCTGTATGGCACCTCAGGGGAGAGGAGCAAGTCTCCTCTCTCACAGAGGAGGGAAGAAAGTAAGATTTGTAAGACTTGATTTGCACCCCTGAAAAGTCTCTTTCTCTCTCTCGTTGATTAGCAAGCGAGTTGTTGAAGTTAGGAGAAATCTGGGCCACAATCTTGTTTGCTTCTTAAACGCTCGGTAATTGCAGTGAAGTAATTTAAATTTAATTAGAGGAAGATAAGATGCGGTGTTTGGCCGCCTTTTTAATTCTTTGTTTAAGGTGTTTGCTCATGACAGACTGAAGCCACCCGAAGGCCAGACTGATGGGATGCGGGCCGAGGTTTGCTGCGACGCTGTAATCGCAGATCATTTTGAGCCTCATGTGCAGGAGGAGACGGACTCGCAATTGTGTAACGACGGCAGATGAGCAGTCAGAATTAAAAACAGTTAAGACTGAATTTGCCATTCCTAAAGGCTGGTTGTTTTGCAGCACAAATTTAATTTTGCTTATCTGATCCCGATTTTCAGCTGCCCTGAGTTCTGGCAGACCAGCTGTGTTTAGTCCACCGCTAGCTGGTTTAGGGAGGAATTATCATGTTAAAAGCAACATTTGTTTGTAGTGCTGGCAAGGCTTCCATTCCTCCTGTCTCCATGCAGTAAATTTATGTTCCTTACCACGAAACAACTAAACACATGGGTTTTGAGTGGAACTCTCTTCAATTGCAAGGCCTAAACAAACAAATAAAGGATGAGAGAAAGGGAGCCTGCTGGATGTCAGCGCTGCTTTCCTCTGCGCTTTATAATGGGTAGAAGAGAAACTCGGGTATAACTGATGATGAAAAATATGAAATGTTTGCATGTTCTTTTAACGCTTGGAAAGATTTTGAAGAAAATCCTCAGACTGTAACTTGCAAGATCAGTCTGCCATCTTAAAAGCTGATTGTGTATAAATTTGATTATGGAAAGGTCTTCTAAAGTATTCAGGCTATATTTAAGATAATGAAGTTTTGTTCCTTAATCTAATTTTGGCTTCCATCTGGAAGAAATTAAAAATCCAAACCACGCATCATTTCACTCCTTAAAAATGTCTCATACCTGCTGTACTGGCCTTGTGTGTCTCTTGGATGTGAAGATCCCGCTGGGCCAGGGGATGATGGAGCACCGGGCAGGGGTCCCCCACGCAGCCAGCTGGAGAGGGACAGGGCTTCCCTGCCACGATGATCCCGGATCTCTGCTTTCCTCCATGGAGCTGTTTGAGCGGG